TTTTTACATGAAAAACTACTTATAATTAAATAGTGACACCATGAGACATAACTGTTCAATTAATATATGTGACTTTCTAATAGTCACAACTTATCTTATTAAAAAATATAACTTTTCATTTTGAAAATACACCAACAATTTTAGATGAACAAAACTTACAACGATAATGACATATAAATGTAAACTAATTACCCAAATACGTCCCCGAATTATGTAAAAAAAGTTAATTAGGCATTTTATTAAGCTCTTGAATTTTTATTTTAAGTCAAATAAGTTTCTCTCTAATTATTAACTAACTTTTGTTAATCAATAGTACAATTGGCACATTTATACCTTGTCACTTGCACAGAGTATGTTGACATGACATTTTGATGACATCAATACTATATGGTGGATGACGTGATAACAAAACTTACCACTTAAGAATGGTGTGTTTATCTATTTTTCCCTTGCCAACCAAAAATAATTGGGTGAGAAATTTGAAAAAAAAAAACATAATGTTCAATAAGTCTCTAAATTATTTAAAAAATTTTAAGTCTTTATTATTTTATTACATTCAATTAAGTCTCTATATTTTTATTTTGGATTAAATAAATACTTATGATTGATGATTGACTAGTTGTTATTAATCAAAATATCACTTGTCATTTTAAAATCACATGGCACTAATATATTGTTGACGTGAATGGTAAAAAATATTACATAATCATGTTATCGTATTAAATTAATATTTCATGTCATGATCAATTATAATTTATTAATATGTCATATCATCATTAATTATTATATGTCAACATGCTATGCCAATATCATGCGACATAAAATGACAAATAATATTTTGACTAAATCAATCATTAATTATAAAGATTTATTTGACCTAAAATAAAATATAAGAGTTTATTTGTCTTGAAACAAAAGTACATATAAGGGTTTGGTTGAATGTAATAAAAATATAAAAGTTTATTTAATTTTTTTAAAATAATTTAAAGGTTTTTTAAATATTATGCCAAAAAATTAAAAAGAGGTCTTCATTATCATTTGATTTCATTCTTAACCTTGTTTTAGGGCTTCTATTAAAAATTTAGTAAGTTATCCAAAAAGACAAAAAATCAAATCCCTACCTTCATTATCCATTAATGCCGTTAAAAACAAAATTTCACTATAATTATCAAATAAAACCTAATTCAATTCTTGTATAATTTGGTTCCAAAATACACCTTTCGATAGCCCTAATACCAATTAATTAGTTTTAAATCTATAGTTCCACCATGAATACAAAAACAAACTTTGCAAAAAATTGGATTCCAATGAAATTGCCCAATATTTCTACAATTGAAATAAACTTAAAAAAAATCATTACTTAAACAAATAAAAACACAACAAAAAACCATCAAAGAAATCTAGAAAAATTTTCATCTAAAATAAAGTTGCCATGATTTTTCTTATTAGATAATTTACTAATTTTTCTACAAAAACCCTGAATCAAGATCAAGAACGGAATCAAATGATAATGAAGACTTAGGCTTTCTTTTTGTCTTTTTTTTTATAATATATAAAAAAGCCCCCTAAACTATTTTACAAAATTTAAATAAGTTTTTATACTTTTATTATATTCAATCAACCTCTTATACTTTTATTTTTAACCAATAAACCCTTATACTTTTATTTTTAATTAAATAAATTCATATAACTAATGATTGACTTGATCAAAATATTAGTGGTCATTTTATGCCGCGTCATGTTGACGTGGCATACCAATATATCATAATTGTTGTTTTATCTTTTTGGATTATTTGCTAAATTTTCAGCAAAAACTCTAAATCAAGGTTTAGAGCCAAATAGGACAATGATAAGACTTAGTTTTATGTGTTTTTTTAAATATATATATATAGTTTAGGGGTTTTTTTGCGTTTTTTGTCATCAATGTATAATATGTGTTGTATCTCTTAATTGTTAAGTACTGACAAGTATGTATGGAATATCAATTGTCTTTCCAAAAAGACACGGGTTTTTTCTATTTTAGACATGACGACAGAGAAAATTTTATATTTCATGCACGTGATAAAATTGTGATTTGAATCAGTTCTCAAGTTTCCATAAATACTAATATTGTTTTAGTAGAAAATAAAATGCTTGCGAGATTACCATGTATTCGTTATTGACTTAAAATTTGTTTGTTGGTATTATTAAATGTGCTCAAACTCGTAATCGAGTGAAATTTAAAATACAATGATTTGATAATTCCTTAAGAATCTTGCAAATAAACGTTTAAACATGCAACTTTGTAAATGTCATACTTATTATATACCAATCAAATCTCTAAACTTTTGCCTTAAGGTAACTTCCCAAACTCCATTTGAGCATATTCTCAAATCAACCATGTTAGCTATTGATTCCAATGGAATTACAGTAACTCAAATTGGAATTATGTGCTTCCTTTACCCTTTTTAACGTTTTCTTACTTTAGTACAATCAAAGTCAATGATTCACCATCACAAGTCTCGTCTGACATCTTAAAAAGTTCAATGTTAAACTTTTTCCCTTTGGCAGCTGAAAGAATAACAGAGAGGCAGGCTCAAATGTATATGTCACCATTAGGTAAACAAGTTAGGTTGAACTGGGATTTTTAAACGTTAAAAATTGTGGTTATTGAGGATATGATGGGATAAAAAACGCATACAAAGCTATTGATTATGGATTTGGGATTGCGAAATTATTACAATGAAAGGAAGTGATTCTGATGGTGCAAAGCATGTGCATGCATATTCATTGTCAAATGATGAATGGATTTAGTGAACGTTCATCCAATAATTGCCCTGATTTTCTTATATTTAAGGGAAAATTAAAAGCAACGATAGGGGAATCCAAAAAAAAATATGGGGAGAGTTGGCGTCTAAATTAGGGTTTGAACAGAGGCCTCCTGTCACGGCTGAATTCGATTAAGGAATCTAGACTGTGTCCCCATGTAGAGAACATTAAAAGTACTATATTGACCCTAAAAGTTTTCCAGAGAATGGCCAATGTATCCTCCGGCCTTGTACGTGTCGGCTTTGCGATGGATGTCTACAATAAGTTGAAGGCGGGATTACGGAACGACGAACCAGTGGATCCCAAGCGGTCGAGAAGGGACAAGCCTTGCGTAAACCGACACGCGCGGGGGAACGCGTGGGGCTAGAAAAGGGCGGACATCCCGAACCCAGTTTTGGAAGGTAGTGGGTCCCACACTGTTTTGAGCTCTTGATTTTCTCTCCCCGCCCTTTATATTATTTTATTACCTCAGCCAAGATTGGTGCATGGTAGGAGGACGGGGATGAGAGGGAGAAGGGGGAGAGGAAGAAGAAGTAAAAGGCCATTGAAAGAAAAATAAAAAAGTGAGAGAGATCCCTGGAGCCTTCTCTAGGGTTTAAGAGGGTTTTTCTTTTTATTAAATCGAGACTTTTGGATATTAAACAAAACCTTTAACCTGTTTGACCATTGATTTCCTCTACCTTTTCTCGTTGTAAGTCAGCTTACTTCACAGCTTCCCAACTCCATTACTTTTATTTAATTTTCTTCTTTGGGTTCTTTTATTCTATAGCTTAATATTTTATTATATACTTTCTGTCCTTTTACTCTTCTAAGTTCTACAGATCCCAACAGTTAGAGAGAGAGAGAGGAGAGAGAAACAGAGGATCTGATGCGACCTGTATCTATCCTCTCTGTGCCGAAACACTGACCTTTGCTTACTCTCAAAATTTAAAAAGGTATACTTTTTTTTAAAAAATTTCCGTACTGGTTTTGGGTTTTGTTTTTGTGTATTTATTTCTTACAGCCTGTTTCTTACTTGCATTGCGAGAGAAATAGAGAGAGAAAGAGAAAGAGGTCAACTGGGTCCTTTTATGCTTTGATTCTGGTTGAGTATATTACTATCATATATTTGAATAGTGTGAATGTGAAAGTGATGACCTTTTAACTTTTTGTGTTTTGGTTTTCTTTTCCATGCCATCTTTTTGAGCCCCTTTTGGTGTTTGTATGCAGTTCTAACTTTTTCTTGGGGTCCTTTTCATTTCTGTCAAATATACTGACAAACAATTGGTCAATTGGACTGATGGAAAATTAGGGTTTTCATATTTGTCAGTCTTTCTATGGCGTTTTCGGAGTTTTTCGCAGGCCTGGCTTAGGTAGAGAGATAAAAGAAGGTGTGAACTCTTTGATTTTAAGATAAAAAAGTGGTCTTTCTTGCCTCTTTCTCCACTACTTTTCTCTTCCTTAACTGACTTTGTAGAGAGAGAAAATTAAGAGTCGGCTTAGAGAGGGGGAGATGCGTTTTGAGTCATGCAATGCATGGGCGTTGACAAGGAGACAGCTTTTTTCATTCTGTCTTTGTTGCGAATAAAATTGTTAAAAAGGTTTTAGACTTTTGCTCATTCTGGGTATTGTTTGTGAGGTCAAACTTGACGACACGAAAGAGAAACGAAATTGAAGCATAACCTTGTGAAAGTGATAGTGACCGTTTCCAAGAAAAAAAAACCGAAATGAAATAATGATAGACGAAGTATAGAAAAATTTTAAGAGAAAAATAAAAATTTTTCCTTTTATTTTCTTATTTAAATGAGTTTTGGGGATTTGATCAAGACTAGTAGCAGCAGCGACAGTGGTGGTATGGGTGCAAGGATTGTTGTGGCTGATATTGTTCCACCCAGCAACATGCTAAGTGGTGCCATTGTTGAGCCACCTCTTCTCACCCAACATATTCCCAAATCTATGCAAAGCTCTCCTTCCCTCTCTCTCTCCTATGTATTGCCTCGTCTCCCTCTTAATCTCTCTCTCCTCTGCATTGTCCTTTAAGTAATTTATTACCTACTTTATTTTATATATATTTTTGTTTTGATCTTTGCTGTGTGTTTGTTATTATTTTTAAGATGGGTCATTTAATGGGGGACTTACTTTTGGTGCAGAAAAAAATGGATGCTCATGGTGAGATGGGGCTGATTGGGGAAAATTTCGATCCGAGTTTAGTTGGGAGGATGAAGGAAGATGGATACGAGAGTAGGTCTGGAAGTGATAATTTTGAAGGTGCATCCGGTGATGATCAGGATGCTGCTGATGATGGACGGCCTAAGAAGAAGAAGTACCATAGGCATACTCCACATCAAATACAAGAGCTTGAATCGTATGGTTGCTTATCTTACATTTTATTATATTAAATTTTGTATTTTGTAATTCGGTCATCAAGATTTTTACGGATTTGCTTGTTGAAGTTTATTTTCTTGCTTTATTGCGTTCTCTAGTTTCTTCAAGGAGTGTCCTCACCCTGATGAAAAACAAAGACTGGAACTCAGCAGGAGGCTAGCCTTAGAGAGCAAGCAAATAAAATTTTGGTTTCAAAACAGGAGAACCCAAATGAAGGTAAGTTGATAATCTATTTTGCTCTTTTTAAATCTTCATGGTTGAGGTATAAAATTGAGTTCGAGACTGGTAATAATATGAATTGTTGTTTGAACCAGACCCAATTGGAACGCCATGAAAATGTTATTCTTAGACAAGAAAGTGATAAACTTAGAGCCGAGAATGATTTGTTGAAGCAGGCCATGAGTAGCCCAATATGCAACAGTTGTGGTGGTCCAGCAGTGCCCGGTGAAATATCTTATGAACAGCATCAACTTAGGATTGAAAATGCTCGATTAAAAGACGAATTAAATAGGATTTGTGCTTTAACAAACAAGTTCTTGGGCAGGCCTCTCTCGTCCTCAGCCAGTCCTATTCCTTCCCAGGGCTTAAACTCCAATTTGGAGCTTGCAGTAGGAAGAAATGATTTTGGTGGCTTGAACAATGCAGGCACTACATTGCCATTGGGATTTGATTTTGCTGATGGGGCTATGATGCCTTTAATGAAAACTATGGCCAATGAAATGCCATATGACAGGTCAGCCTTTGTAGATATTGCTTTGGCAGCTATGGATGAATTAGTTAAGATGGTGCAGATGGATAGTCCCCTTTGGATCAAAGGCTTGGATGGTGGGATAGAAACCTTGAATCATGAGGAGTATAGAAGGACTTTCTCCTCTTGCATTGGCATGAAACCAAGTGGCTATGCAACTGAGGCTACAAGGGAAACTAGCCTGGTTTTTCTCCGCGGCTTGGCTCTTGTAGAGACGCTAATGGATGTGGTATGCCATTCATTCACTTCTTGCAGTGCTGTTGTTGTTGTGTTGAACTTTCCTTCTGCTGTTAGGATTTGGTTATCTGTTTTGCCCTTTTGTGCCCCCTTGTTAGACTCTATGAGGAAAAAGTTTTTGTTCTCCCTAGATAATCATCAGTAGTGTTTGTCTACCTATATGTTACCTTCACGATTTCATTTGATAAATATTGCTCTGGTTAAATCAATTTCACTTCTGGTAGAGGTGGTGCTTATGCTTGCTGTGAATGGTCCCATCACTGATTTTGCTGATTGAATCTTAAAGAAAAAAAATGTTTGAGAGTTGTTGTTTGACTGGTTCTTTTGCTGCTACTCTATGTATAGAACCGTTGGGCAGAAATGTTTCCCTGCATGATTTCAAGAGCAGCAACCATTGATGTGCTATCCAGTGGTACAGGTGTAACCAGAGACAATGCATTGCAAGTGGTATGTTTCTCTGCCATCTGTCTTTATTTCTTTTGCTTCTTAGCTAGGTCTTATGAAGATCATACCTTGCAGATGGATGCTGAATTTCAAGTGCTTTCACCTTTGGTTCCTGTTCGTCAAGTGAGATTCCTTCGGTTCTGCAAGCAGCATACGGAGCGTGTGTGGGCTGTGGTTGATGTCTCTATTGATGCTAGCCAAGATGCTGCAACTACACAGATGTTTCCAAACTGCAGGAGACTTCCTTCTGGTTGTGTTATCCAAGATATGGACAATAAGTACTCCAAGGTAATCACTAATGTAAATTCTTATCTTGTTCTCTAAATTTTTTATAAATGAATGTGTACTTGATATTTTGAAGTTCATTGAGCTCGCATTGCATGTCTATGATATTTTATAGGTATTTAATGAGGTTGTTGTTATAACAACTAGTTCTGAGTTTGGTTGTGACTGCATGAAGGTGAAATAATGTGCACTTGGACTTCCAGTCTCAATGCACCTTGACTTGTGCTTTACGAAATTTAATACTCCTTTTATTACTCACCAAATTTCCCTTTTCTTTGATGGGGCAGCTGATAGGATATTGTAAAATCTCACCTAAGAGTTGAAGCTTTTATTATTTTTTGCTCAAGAAGATGCTTTCTTTTTTAAATCATTTAATCGTCAGTTTCAAAGCTAAGGTTGCTTATGTCTGCACTTAAATAGTCTACTGCTACTTGCTGAGATGAGCAAATCAAGGGTACAGTCACAGTTCTATACTAGTATAATTCTGAGTGTACTTTAATCATAGCCTTTATCTGCAGGCAAATCCTTGGAATTCTCAATCATTGTTCTATAAATTATATTTTCTTGTTTCTATTCCTATCTCTCCTCTCTTAATGCCTTTTTAATTGCCCATGAGGTGATATGATCTGGATCCAGTCGTTATCTTGTAATCTTTAGAACCCCGTGTTATGTGCCGCTCTGTTTCTTTTTATAATGTTAGACTGTAATTTAGTTTAAAGTTTGACAGAAATTGTCTATTCAAGTTTCATGCTTCTGTTTTCTAATTGTGTTGACATTTTGTCCTATGTTACCTGGACTGTTCCTCGATATTTGACTTAATTTCTTTCCTTCTTCTATCTTGTCTCTGCCCTACTTCATGCAGCAGTGTTTTGAAGTTTCATGGATATTTTTCTTAACGAAATAACAAGAAAAATCTCATAAAAGAAAGACCCAAGAAAAATTCTTGTACTTTGACACATGATAGTTTGGTGAAATTTACCAACCTAGATTTGAGTCTAAAGGGAGTTATAAACACATACTTTCTTTCTATCTTCCTCCCTTTTACCGCCGACTAGATAATGCTTATTAGGAGAACTTTTCCTTTCAAACTAGTGGAGTAGACAGTAAAAGTTTTCTATGCTTCGTCGTAGTTAGTATCATGACAGATATCGATTTAAAAAAAAAAAAATCCTAAATGAAACATTTTTAAAATTTGAGATGAATGGAGCCAACAGAGCTTATGCTTTCTTTGTTTTTCCATAAATCTATGAGTGCCTTCTATATGAACTCATGATGATCAGTTTGATATTTGTTGCAAGCGGGCATGCTTACAAATCGTTAAATGCAGGTTACATGGGTTGAACACTCAGAATATGATGACGGTGCTGTCCATCATCTCTTGCGGCCATTACTCAGTTATGGTTTTGGCTTTGGTGCACATAGGTGGCTTGCCACTCTTCAAAGGCAATGTGACTGCTTGCTGTACTAATGTCCCCCAACATCCCGGGTGAAGAAAACACAGGTCTCTCTTTACTGCTATGTCATTCTTTCATCTTTGACAAATGTGGCAGAGTCCCTCTTCTAATACATGGAACTTTGGCACAGGAATAACTCCTGCTGGGAGGAAAAACATGTTAAAGCTGGCACAGCGCATGACCTATAACTTCTGTGCTGGAGTTTGTGCTTCAAGCGTGCATAAGTGGGACAAGCTCAGTGTTGGTAATGTGGGTGAAGATGTAAGGGTGATGACCCGGAAGAATATAGATGATCCTGGTGAGCCTGCTGGGGTTGTGTTGAGTGCTGCTACTTCTGTTTGGATGCCCATAACACAGCAAAGGCTGTTTGATTTCTTGCGAGATGAACGGATGCGGAGTCAGTGGGACATTTTGTCCAATGGTGGGCCAATGCAGGAGATGGTCAAAATTGCCAAGGGCCCCGGACATGGCAACTGTGTCTCTCTCCTTCGTGGCAGTGTAAGTGATCACTGTCTTATTTTAGTAGACTTCATCTGATTTTCTCATCCACTTTTCCTTCCTACTATTCTCCTTTTTTGAGATGTATAGTTCCTTTATATGCAACGTTGCAGGCCATTAACGCAAATGAGAACAACATGCTAATTTTACAAGAAACATGGAGTGATGCCTCTGGTGGAATAGTAGTCTATGCACCTGTTGACATATCATCAATTAGTGTGGTGATGAATGGTGGTGATTCGGCTTATGTGGCACTCTTACCATCAGGATTTGCAATTCTTCCTGGTATTTCACCTAGTTACCATGGTGGGCAAAGCAACTCTAATGGACCTTTGGTGAAACCTGACATTGATGGGAGTATAAGTGGTGGATGCTTGCTTACAGTTGGATTTCAGATTTTGGTGAATAACCTTCCTACGGCTAAGCTAACAGTGGAGTCAGTTGAAACTGTTAACAATCTCATCTCCTGCACAATTCAGAAAATCAAAGCTGCCCTCACAGTTACATAGCTGGAGCCGCTGAGCCTGAGAAAGGGGTTGCTTAAGAAATTTATATTTATATTTTTGTGCTTTTGTGAAAGGAAAAAGTAAAAAAGAAGAAGATAGATTTGTGGAAAGTATAGGAGATAATGAGATAATAGAATGGGAAAGGAAATGAAGCTTGAGATGGTAGTTTGGGTAAATTAGGTTTCAAGTCAAGAACGAACCGCTCGTGGAGAAATTTGTTCTACCGTGAATCTTAGCAGAATGGTACTTGCATCATACTGAACGGTGCACAGTGGGATTGTGGTTCGGGCATTGACTTGGTCGACCTGTGAGATTCTCAACTCTTTAAATTCTCAGTTGGTAAACTTTGTTTTGTTAATGTAGTCCAAGTTATAGAGAAACACAAAGATAGACATTGCAAGACTGGTCTTGATTTTTGTGTCTTCAATTTTATCAATATCTTGCCCCAGCTGTCTTTTACTTGTTTACAGGCGGGTTTGAATATTTTTATCATATGCTATGACCTTGGAATCTTAACACACAGGGTCCCGACCTCTGCTTTTGTTGGTTTTTTCTCTCTATGTTTTATGTGGTGTGTCATCCCTGATCACATGTTGCGTCTAATTCAGGGTTTCTGTCTAGGATGGTGTATTGGCGTGGGGACAGACAATGTAGCATATCTCCAAGTGTTTCTGTGGAACATATTTCTATGTTTTTGCAAAACCATCCTGGTACTTTTATCATTACCAAAACATCAACGTTTTGAATCTAATCAATAGCACGAGTATGAGTAGGTTCATTATCTATGTAGACTGGAGCTATTATTCACAGATAAAAATCATCATTTATGATTTATCCCATTGGAGTGCAAAAAACTCCATAAACAACAATTCCATTTGACTGTAATTAAGGAAATTGTTTTTAGATTATGAAAGCAGCATGTTTAATTAATTAGGAATATTCCCTCCAGGAGCAAAACTTATCACTGGTTCACATTTTTTAATGAGAAACTTCACTTTGGGCCATCACGGAAACAGATAGAACGTCTTCCTTTTACCAGGCTTTAGACCCAAAACAAACCCATATTAAAACTAGGCCCAGACCTAGGCCTTAAGTTTATCAGCAATCAGATTGTTTTAGCTTGGGTCCCTTGCCAGCCCACAATCAAGCAACCCTTTTTTGGACCTGCCCTACTCCGTATAATAATGCCTGTTGCCTGTTCGTCAAGGCGCCTTGGCCGTCTACAATCTACATGTCCGTCAAGCTCCCCGGGCCCAGCTTCAAACTCATCTTTTCCGTTACAACCCCATTGTATTTACAAGTTTCAAAATTCTGCCACTCCCAATCAAAACCCTAAACCCCCCATTAATCCATAAACGATGCTGATTTTCTTCACTTACACTTCCAATCTCCTCAAACCCAGAACCCCTACGCCTCTCAGACCGCTCCCTTCAATCCTCTTTTACAATTTCTCATCCCAAAAGCTCATGTCTCAATCCACCTCTATCCCTAAGAAACAGCAAAGAGTACGCGACCACGGTTACGACAACTACATGGAAGTCGAGAAAAAGACCCGAAAAGTCCTCAAATTTCAGTCTCTAATCCTTTCCCAACCGAACCAAACCTTGCCCATCTCTCGCTTCGACTCTCTCGCTCGTCGCCTTGGTCTCGGCTTCAAACAAAACGAAGCCGGCGCTTATCTCCTCAAATTTCCTCATGTTTTTGAAATCTATGAGCACCCAGTTCAGAGAATACTTTATTGCAGGCTAACCCGGAAGGCACTTCTCCAAATTGACCGAGAAAAAGAAGCACTCAATGCCCAGATACCTGATGCCGTGACCCGGTTAAGGAAGTTGCTTATGATGTCGAATACGGGTCGGTTAAGACTGGAACACGTTCGCATTGCGAGGAAAGAATTCGGGTTGCCTGATGATTTCGAGTACTCGGTAATTCTCAACCATCCACAATTTTTTCGATTGTTTGATGCTAAAGAGACTAGGAATAAGTACATTGAGATCGTTGAAAGAGATCCTAAGTTAGCTGTCTGTGCTATAGAGACAGTTAGGGAGAGAGAATATAGAGAAAAAGGATTTGACGCTGAGGATATTAGGTTCTCATTTATTGTGAATTTTCCGCCCGGTTTTAAGATAGGTAAGTATTACAGGATTGCAGTTTGGAAGTGGCAAAGGGTTCCATATTGGTCGCCCTACGAGGATGTGTCTGGTTATGATTTGAGGTCATTAGAAGCTCAGAAGAGGATGGAAAAGAGGGCAGTAGCAACTATTCATGAGTTGTTGTCATTGACTGTGGAGAAGAAGATTACATTGGAGAGGATTGCTCATTTTAGGATGGCAATGAATTTGCCTAAGAAGTTGAAGGATTTTTTGCTACAGCATCAGGGGATATTTTATGTTTCAACAAGGGGGAATTATGGGAAGCTTCATACAGTGTTTCTTAGGGAGGCTTATAGGAAAGGGGAGTTAATTGAGCCTAATGATTTGTATTTGGCGAGAAGGAAGTTGGGCGAGTTGGTTTTGATAAGCCCTAGGAAGGCAAAAGTGGATAACGAACTGGTTAGCTTTAAGAGAGATAGAGAAGGTGATGAAGTGGAGCGTGTTAGACGAGACTATGTGGAAAATGATTTTGAAGATTTTGGGGTTGAGGGTAAAGTTCGGCAAGATGGGGAGGGGAAGGATGGTTCAGATTCAGATTTAGTTTCTGATATTGAATGTCATTACACAGATGAGGATGAGGATTTTGATGAAACTATGGATCAAAAGAAGGATGCCCGTGTAACTGAATAATAACCAACTTTTGTTCTACTCATTTTTAATTTGATAATATTGAACTTATAACCAGCTGGACATTAAAATGGAGGACAACTTTGCATTTACTAAGCTTCAACAACCAGAAGACATTTTGTATTAAGGATTGCCATGTCTGCTCTGGAGAATTTTATCAGGTGGAAATAGCACCTCATGTCGGAACTTGATTATTGGAGAAGATCTATATGAGACAAGTATGTATTTATGGATAACTTGGGGGTTTGATGGATATGTAACGGAGTGGAAGCATATTTGATGTTGGTTAAATTTTTATGGACTACTAGAATTGAAGCCATCTGTACTGCCATGTCTTCTTGCCTGTGTTACTCGCCCAAGAAAGAATTGCCAAAAAATTTCAGCAGGTAAAAGGAAATAAGAAGCGCCCAGAAGTTTTGCTTCATGAAGTTGCTTGTGCAATCATGTAAGTCTAATAATTCTCATATTCACAAGTTAAATTACCTGCACATATGTTGATGCATGTGGTTATATAGGCAGTCTGTTGAGAGTAGATTATTTTTATAATTTGATTTGTCCAATTCCTCTCCCGTTTAATGTTCTGTTGTTACTCTCATGATGAGGTGAATTAACCTTCTATTTTTGGTTTATACAATTGCATACCTGTTATCTTTCAAACTTTTATCTTCCTTTGTGTGTGGTTATTTATTGCTGTTCATAAAAAACAATAGGTCATTGATCAGGAGTGCTTCTCAATAGGAGTTTGAGAGCTTCAGAGTCAGCAGTTGTTTTTAATTTTTCCCCTACCTCCGTCTGGATGTTCTATTCTCCCTTTCTAATATCTATATAGAGGTTTTTTTTTTCTTTTTGTTTTGAAGGAAGAGAAAAAAAAAAGGAAAAATACTGGGTGGGATGTAGAGCGTGGGTGGGTGTTTTGCTTTTCAGTGCAAAGCTTTATTGGTTCTTGTAGGGACTTTTAGGCAGGTCTTGGGCCAGAAATAGCTGTCCCTGTTCCAAGATAATGTATGTAGACTTTTTTTTTAAATTTTTTTTTTATTTTTTACAATTTCCAATCTAGCATTTATTTTGGAGGGACTAATCCTTAATAGCGAGCTATTTTCAAGGCATATATAGATGTGCAATAGGGTCTAATCAAATACTAGCACTTTGTTGCAAGTAGCTGTTATCATTTTAGGTTCTTTGATGAGTCTAGTGTGACAAGGTTTTAAGAAGATAAATATGCAAGATTATAATCAAAGTCATTGGCTTGAAGTTTTCTTATTATCATTTTTGGCATATATGTAATGAATTTTTGAGGAGTCTGCTTATCTGGTTAACCAGACTGGAGTCCTTTTAGTTAGGCATCATATAAATTTTTCTTACTCTGGTTAGAAGTTGTTTATCACCTAATCTGGCTGTCATGTTATAAACAGAAGGCAGACCTGATGGATTTTGTGGCTAAAATTTGTTTTAGTTGGCTCTAAAATGGCATACCCATAGCCATATGCAAATTGTCGCAAGAAAAATAGTCCAAAACCATATGCAAGTCATATAGTAATTAAATAATGTGATGAACATGCTGAAAAAATTGGGTTAGAAGTTAGGACCTTCACTGAATCCACTTGGTGTCGGTGTTAATGGCATGGCAGTGACAGTGGTGTTAACCATCCAATTAGGTTAAAAGAAAAGGACTGTGGCAGCTACTTGGGTTCTGTTTTTGCAGATATTTTTGTTTTAGGTTTTGTAATATGTTAGGGTTAGACAATACTAGAAACTGATTAAAATTCGACAGTTGGAGGTGGTCTGGTAGACAAACTAAATATTCTTCACTGTCAATATATTTCAAATTCATTTGTTGGTTAATGTGGCAAATGCTTGGAGTTAATTTCCTTCTCACCCTGGTTTGATTTCCTATATTAATAATATATATATATATAATTAAATAAACAGGTTTGCTATTACTCGGATATTAAACATAATCAAGTTTAGGTATTTGGTATCTAAAGGGTGATACTTGAACCTGTCCCAAATCTGAATCCTTTGTAATCCGGTAGGGTACCCTTAGGTACCTGAAAATGGCATCCTTGCGATGAAGGAAAAGACTTTTTGTTTTACATCCCACCTTTGTTCCAGCCAAATAATATGAAAAGGAGAAAAATCTTGTTTTCCACTCCAGAAAATTCTTTCCATGTTGAGACATGGAGTTGATATTTGTTGGGCAATAAGTTATAGTTTAATATAAAGTGGCTTGTTGTACTAAAATTGCTTTTGGGCAATAAGTTAGGCCATAGGTGTGGAGCAGAAGCTGAGACTTGTCTATAAAAGCCATAGGGCCAGGTTGGTTGGTTTGGTTTGAAAATCAAAGCCAAAAAAGATCTACAATTGAAAATTATAGTGCGTCACGTATGAGTAAAGTATTGCTTTGTACCTACCCAAGTGTATCTGGAGGAGTATTCATATTTCCACTTGTAACCACTGAAAACAACGGATACCAATTGATGAATATAGAATTCCTCATTGCATGTCTGATATATTCTGTTTCTATTTATGATGAAGCAATTTGCAATTCTTAACTTGATAATTATTCGTTTTCTTGGTAAACGGTTGAATCCCAGATTCTCTCTGCCAGCATCCTGGAAGAAGGTTGCCATATGAGTCGTGAACATAATACAAGTAGAAGGCGTCATCAGCTGTATGTTTTTTCATTGCCCAACAAATGATTCTTGGCAGGTTGTGAGTGTAAACAATTGGACGCCGAAAGCTTGTTGCTTTGCAATTGTGTTACGCAAGGCATAAATGTTCTAGTTAAAACCGTTTATGGTCAGTCTGTGGTTTGATTATCGAACCTTGTCTTTGTATATTTGTTGATTCTTTTGTAAAGTTTTGTTAATAATTCAATGACAGTGAAATATTATAAAAGAAATTGTAATAAAACTTTATACTAATCTTAGATATTTTAACAAGTCCAATCATTTTGGTTATCAAACAGAAAATGTGGACTAACAGCTAACTTGGCATCGTCATTTGCCCAAGCTAAAAGACATTATAGCTTAAGCAAGATTATACTTGGTATTATCCTGAACCTTCATTCTTAAACAACATAAACTAAATATGTGCTTATCATTCTTAGCTCTTTGATAATTTAACATTCAATTTCATCTAAATCATAGTGCATGTCCCATAATTAAGAATTAAAGTTAACAAGTTTAATCCCCTCTGAAAACTAAATTTAAGTTTTCATTTGAATCTGCCTATTTAATATATCCAACAGCGATTGTAGGGACATTGATTGAATAAATGTGTGATGCCTTGACCCTTTATCTCATTATTACCGATCTTCATGAATTAGGACCCAACAACCCACTTCCATCTTTGCAAACATGTCTACTCATTTAATTAGAATTGTCCTGGAAATTCTTTTTAATTAGAAAAAAAAAAGGAGAAATTTTTATTTTTTTGGGTTGGGTCGTAATTTTGTTCTTTTTTGGGTGGACTTGTGTGTGTGTTTGTTCTTTTTTCTCTCAACTGCCGAATTGGCCATTTTCCCAACTATCGACGGCCCACATTCCCCACCAAACTGAGCTAATCCTGAGGGTAAATTTGATGATACTAATATCCTGTCTGATCTGCTTACAGCTTTTCACGTGAAACAATTCATGACAGCCGTCCGATCATCATCTAACCAATCAAGTCGGAGATCATCGATTACTGTGTGTGCCCCCACGTGTACAGCTACTCCCCGGTATTTAAAGTTCTGATCTGTGTTTTACGTTTCATCAGGATGATGCTCAGTATCTGCAGTCCTGGTTATCGTGATCTGTGAAGTATGAGATAATTTGTCTTTCGGCAGACTCGAGAACGCACGCGCTTTCCGACCTTTTAACGCAAGGTGGGCCAATGGCTGCACTGCAGTTAGTACTGAGAACACTTTCTTGTCCTTTTTCTTTTAACCTATTGTAAATCCATTTAAAAATAAAAATAAAAATTATTTTAATACACGAGTATTTTGCACATTTTAAGTAATTGGTTACACTATTCTTTTTTAAATCTTAATTTTGAAAATCTATTTACTATAAAATAAATTAGAATATTTGCTGTTACAATGATCTACTGCCGTGGGAAGTGGGGATTTCATTATCAACTTGGAAGAGAAATAGTGAAATTTGGAAAACAAGAAAGCAGAAGTGAAAGTGAAAGTGAAAGTGCCATCGTTTTTGGTCAAGAGAAAACAAAGAAAGAGGAAAGGTAAAGTGGAAGTTAGAAACGTAGTTTGGCACCGAGGCATCCTGTTTCTTCTCCATTTGTCCTCAAAAAACAGCGAAAACTGGACCAACAAAACAAACAAGGAAACAACATAGCCCCAGAACGGCTGAAGAAATCAAAAGAAAAACAAAGAAAGAAAAAAGTCCGCCACGTCATCCCCTTTCGCACATTTCTTCTACTACTGGATTTTTTTGTTTTTTTTCCACTTGGAAAGCGAGCATAACACGAAAATCCTCCCCCCGGCTCTTCCCCGTACCCTCCCTGCAACCGTTATAGCGTTGCATTTTTTGAAGAAAATATATTTGAATTTTGTTCTACGACGGTTGACCTAATTTCAATTCCCATACAAAAGAAGACGGCGGAACAGAAAAAAGCTTCCGTAAGTCTGAACTCAAACAGATACCTGAGGGAGAAACAGAAAAGGAGCGAATCAAAATGGGAAATTCCTTTGGGTGCTCAGCTTCAGGGGAGAGATTAGTGTCTGCTGCGAGAGATGGGGATTTGGTGGAAGCCAAGATGCTTTTGGATTGCAATCCTTGTCTTGCTAAATATTCCACTTTTGGTGGCCTTAACTCTCCTCTTCATTTCGCCGCTGCCAAAGGCCACAATGAGGTTTCATTTTTTTATTTTTCGCGTTATAATTTTTTACCTTTTGTTTCCCTTTAGCTTATACAATGTCTTGTGGTTGATTTTTTTTTTATTATGTTCTGATTTCCTGTTTTATTTATTTGGTGGGTTTTCGGTAGATTGTTGCTTTATTGCTTGAGAATGGAGCTGATGTTAATTCCAGGAATTACTGTGGCCAGGTAACAGATTTTATCATTTTCTTATCTGGGTTTTGTTCACTCGAAATGTTGCTGATTTTTTTTTAAAAAAAAAAGAATTTGAGGATTAATGTTTGGAAGATAGTTTTATTTTTGCAGATCTTTTGCTGTGGGTTTAGTTCTGCTTTAGAGTTCCTATGTAGATTTGAAATTTTAGAAAATTTAGTATTTAATTGTATGAATTTGGCATTTGGAACCGAAATGGAGCTTTCGGACATATTTTGAAAGAAAATTCTTCTGGTCGGCAAGCTTCCTAGAGAATCTACCATATTGGTTTAGAGAGCTCGTTTAACATGATTTAGATTCCAAATCTGATTCTGTGGAAGCCCAAAGCCAGAGTCAAAGAATCTGGACTTGAACTTCTGCTCTTTGCTAAGCAACAAGTGGAACTGATCTGCAGTATTCCTAACTTTTAAGTTTTTCTTTATGTTTGAATTTGAAAGACGGCATTGATGCAAGCGTGTAGATATGGGCACTGGGAAGTTGTGCAGACCCTTCTGCTTTTCAGATGCAATGTGAGTTTCATTTTTTTTTAACTTTTATAGTTACTCGAAAAGTATTCCTCAATGATTGTTTAGTTTTAACTGGGTTGGATGCTACTCCTCATGAGAGCTTCATTTGCTTTTTGATGAAATTTCCTTTTCCTAATTTTGTTTTAAATTTAAAGGAAACTTTTTCCAATGTTTGTTGATTAGTTGATAACCAATGTTATTTTACTTCCTTATAGGTTACAAGAGCAGATTATCTAAGTGGGAGAACTGCTCTACATTTTGCTGCTGTAAATGGACATGTAAGATGCATAAGACTAGTTGTAGCTGATTTTGTTCCTAGTGCTCCTTTTGAAGCTATAAACACCCAAATAGAAGGTGAAAGAGGGGATGGTTCTGGTGTGAGGAACAAAAATGATCAGAGGTGTGTGGTTTTATTATTTCACTGAATCACCCTCCTGCTGGCACTGATTTGAATTTAAATGGAGAATTAGGTTCAGGGTTCTTTGCATGTTCCTTTCTGTAATATTTTAAAATCAATTAGTCCGAAAGAAGTTCTTTTACAGAAAAAATGCAGTTTTGAGTTGTGCAAACAATAGATTCTCAAAACAAACATATTTCTCTGAGTAATCTCAATTGCTATGGAATTACTCAACCTTTGATGCCTGCCAAAAGTTCTCGGAACTGTTGTCATTATGCTAATTATGTAAGTTATTACTATGCAGCGCACTGTCAAAGTTTGTAAATAAGGCAGCTGATGGTGGGATTACTGCTCTTCATATGGCTGCATTAAATGGGTATTTTGATTGTGTACAGCTTTTGTTAGACCTTCACGCCAATGTCTCCACTGTCACATTTCATTATGGAGCATCAATGGATTTGATAGGTATGGTTTTCATTTTAGTTTTTCCATGGATGGTTGCTTTGTGATTTATACTTCTGGGGGATATGAATACTGTGTTTTTTATTTTGGCAGGAGCTGGAAGCACTCCTTTGCATTATGCTGCTTGTGGGGGAAATTTGAAGTGCTGTCAGGCAAGACTTATAGATATTGTTTTCGGACCCATCTGTAATTTCTCTTGAATTAGATATTATGTTATTCTTTTTTCTGCAGATCCTTCTTGCAAGAGGAGCCAGTCGAGTGACTTTGAATTGCAATGGGTAAACTATCCATTGATCTTATTCCGTTCTTGTTTCTTTGGTCTTTCGTGTGGTTGCTATTTCAGTTCTGAACGTATCATGGCTAACAGAATTATCTGTATTTTCTTAGGTGGCTGCCACTTGATGTTGCCAGGATGTGGGGTCGTCATTGGCTTGAGCCCTTGCTGGCACCTAATTCTGACACAACCATACCTAGATTTCCTTTTTCCAACTACTTGTCCTTGCCTCTTTTGAGTGTACTTAACATAGCAAGGTAATCCTGTAAATATTATGGTCTACAATCTAGGTAGGCTGAGATTGCTAGTTTTCAATCACTACTGAACAGTTGTTATTGCACAATGTTGCTTTAAAAAATAAAGGTTATTCATGATAATTTGATTTCTGTCAAACTCGAATGGAGAGCTTGGTCAGTGTTTGATATAAGGTGATTCGATATACTTTAATCTTTTGTTATAAAACATTCTTCTATGATGGAGAGATTTATCATGAGAAAAAAATATGAGAGAAATTTAACAAGCTTCTTGTTTAATCAATATGCGGTTAGCAGGGCTGGAGCAATTCAATTTCTTTGTTGCTGTGCAATGTTTCTCCTTGCAAGAGTTACTATTTCTTAAATTTCTAACTTTTAGGTGATTGAAACTGGTTATCATTTATAGATGGGTTAAGAGTAATCATCTTGTTTTGAGGCACAGGTTTCTTTCATGTTGCACATCAAAATTCGGTGTCTTGTGTGTCACGTCAAGATCATTATTATATGTAAAGCTTGGTGCCAGATAATTCAACACCCTGAGAATGTGACTGTTTAAGTACATACAATAATTGGATGCAATAGGCTTGTCAATGTGCTAAAAGTTTTTGTGGTACATAGCTCAATTTTGACAATTGTTAGCAGAGAATGTGGGTTGCAGTCCTCAACAACCTCCTCAGATGATGCTGACACTTGTGCAGTCTGCCTTGAAAGAGCGTGTAGTGTTGCTGCTGAAGGTATGTCTTCAACTTGATTTTTCAAAATTTTGTTTTGTATTCTCTTTACCTTTTTTCTTGAAAGAAATGCTGGTAGAAAGTAGCTTACTGCGTTGATCACTATTTTCATAAATTTATGACTGTTGTCCTTATTGATTTTACCATCTTTTTTGGTGACTATATGAACATGATCACCCTAGTCTTCCAGTTGGGGCTTTGGAAGACAAGGCAGGCAATACAGATTAGATTTAGAAGTTTTATAATATGGCATAGCAAGAAAAACTTAGATTTGTTGTTGATGTTGTCATCAAGTTATGAGGGAAGCCGGTGAATATGTCCATATCGTTTATCCTGTGCTAGAGCTTTACTAATCAAACAAGAATATATGTTCTGGACTCTAGAATATTAAAATCTGGGACTTTGTATAGGGTGGCCTAGAGTGGGCCAGATGTACTAGCTGTTCGTGAGTGGCTGTTGTTTATTCTTTTCTTTTTTCCTAATGTGTGCAACACGAAACCTGACATTACTAAATTTAAAGTTAAAATCATATATTTTGTTGCAAAAGGAACTTTGATTTTAACTCAGAATCAAAATATATTATTAGTATTTACTTTTGTAACCAGACAGGCCTTTTACCTTTTGTTTCTATTAGTAAAATGCAATTAGCAAACTCAAAAGGAGCCTAAATCGATAAAAATATCAAATATTAGCCTGCAACTCTCTCTATTATCAATTTCACTGTTATGTTTTCTGTTCTTATGATTAAACTGCTGTATTTATCCATATACTAAACATCAAATTTTAAGGACTCTCAAGGTATTGATCGGTAATTGTTTTACTTGTTTCAACTTGTCAATTCATTTATCTTTCAGGATGTGGGCATGAGCTATGCGTAAGGTGTGCACTCTATCTTTGCTCAGCAAGCCACATTCCTTCCAATATGGTGGCACCACCTGGGTCTATTCCATGCCCACTCTGTAGACATGGCATTCTTTCCTTTGCCAAATTGCCCAGTTCCCCAGCAAAAGAAATTAAGCTACATCTGTCCCTTGGCCTTTGCACCCCATGCATGCTTCATCCTCGTGATGCAGATTGCCTATCACCAGCTTCAGAGATCCGAAAGAATCGTGTTGCATCAGTTTCTTCAGATCTGTTCTGTCCCGTAACCTGTAGTCCATTCCCTTCTGTTGCCATCCCTTTGTGCACCTGCAATGATGGTCCTTGCCCGTCTTTTGAACCTCGAGAGACAGAAACACAAGATGAATCACCAAGACGGTCACAAGCTACATCAGTTGACCAGGATAAAATTGAAGGGCCACGACTGGAGAGAACAACCTGTTCAAGCATGTTTTGGGGCAGAAGGAGCTGCAGTAGAGAGCATCAATGCAATTCAGAAATAAATGCTTGACTGGTTTCATCCGTGGTTGTTCCATACTGAAATTTTTTACAAAGGAGCTTCAGTCTTAGGTTCCATTGTGGGACAACAGCAAGTCTGCGATGTGGAAAAATTTTTACAATTCCTGTTACAATGCTTATATTTTGTCCCACATTAAGCTGTGTATGATGATTTACATTGCTTTCCTTCAAAGGTGTTACCCAGGCCTTTTTTAACATTTCAATTAGTGAATCTAATCTCTAGTCATTTGTAGATTATGAAATGAGTCAATTTTTACGAAACAGAGAGTGCACTATTCTAGTATTCTGTGTTGGAAGATTTGTCAAAGAAATGGCAGTGGACTTTATTCTCCAAAATCCACTGCTTCATCCACCAAAAATTTGCAATCTCGTCGCCAAGATTTCGAACTTTCTAGTTGAATGGATTCATGAGCAAGTAAACTGGGTCCTCTGTAACTGTTCCTGCTTTTGAATTATCCTCCCCTCTGCTCCATTAACAATTTAACATGACTCAGCCATCCACCGTCCAAACTTCGAAGCCTACACGTAATTAAAAGCAATATAATCTTCTAAACTTGACATTTTTTGAACACTTATCTATGTTATAGGAATTCTTTCATTAATCAAACTGTTGAGTAATTAAAGTCAAATTATATTAATATTAAGTGATTGATATGTACATGTATTCTAGAATTTCTCAGTCCTCCAATGAATACAAATGGCAGTAGCAATGGTATAGGATGGGGATGGCCTTAGAAAAAAGAGAGTAGTATTCGATAAAGAAGGCCCTAACCCCATCCTAGTTTCTGTTATTTCCATGACGGATCGATTGGTTTGGGGACCTCATGATCATTTTAGTAGAGACTTTTATAGCTTGCCACGTACCCACCAGAAGGCATGTATTTCTCTGATACTATGGACATCCCAATCAAATCAGACAACTCTTTAATGAACTTTAAAAAGAGATGGGGTCCACGGTCAACCGAAACCTAGTTCTTACATAAGAGAACAGCCTCCCTCAGCTAGCAGTGGCTCACACATAACAGTACAAGATTACAAAAGTAAAATAACACGACAGAGAAAACTGAAAACACAAACATACGTGTCAAACCCTAAATCCAGGAGAGATAAATGTTGAATGTTGACAGTAGCATTTCTTTCCTTTTTTTTTTTTTGCCCTTTTGGAAGCAGAGGAAACGAGCTTTCGATGTGTATGAACTACGGTGAGAGAGCTGCAAAAGTTATCTTCTTCTTGCAGCAGTTTCTCTCTGGGCATTGAAGAACACGGCAGCCACTGGGAGTCCCAAACCGTTCTCTTGTGAGAAGCTCCTGGTGTTGAAGTAATCCCTCGAAGTTGGTGGCCTCACTGTTTGCCTTCCTCTCTGTTTGAACAGTATGAACACGTATCTGTGGATGCCCACTGTTGGCTTTGGAGTCTCGTAGCTAACAACTTCCCTCCCTGTTGGCGTTAAAGTCGATTGAGTGCTGCGTTCTCTTTTCTTTATAGGATATAAATGAATCACAAAAAGGTTAAAGTTGAAATTGCGCTTTTGGAAACTCACCAAAAGAAGCATCGGTAGTACCGGGAATGTCGGTAACCATCCTGGAAGATATGTTGGTTTACAGTTTAGATTGTGGACTAAATATATATTGAAGAAATTGTATCGTTAAGATAGAAGCTATGTAGTACAGTGATATTGATACTGATACTGATACAGATACAAACCAGTGCAAATGTTCCCGCAAGTACGGATCACTAGGGCTTGGAGCATCAGGATCTGTCAGGATCTTTCAAAGGTAGGAAAGAGAAGCAGAGAAAAAGAAATTTTGCAAGAGTGAGACTTGGTACTAATATTAATATATATTAACGTGGCATGCCGTACAATGTAAGGTTGTGATGGAACTTACTAATGTGTAAGCAGCTCTCATGTCCTCACCGCCAATCTCAACCCGAGGTCTAGCAGCAACGACAGCAGGCATGAGCTCATGGCCGTTGGCAACTTGTTTGTTGGAGTTGTAAGTTACTGTCATTTTGACACTTGGGGAGAAATTGTCCACCACCTCTCCTATAACTCTCCCAATAGTAAGTGGCTCGGGGACTCTTGACATGGTGAAGACAAATTAATGCAACAGTTAAAGATCGAGAGAAAGAGAAGGAAAGAGAAAGAGAGAGATATCTATGCTTTGTAGCTGCTTTGATGCAATGGGTTTGGGAGCATATGAGAGCTTTTATAGATAGAAGAGAGGGGGGAGCTTGGGTTTGAAGCTCATGGATTCGAAAATGCTTCAGCATACCATAAGAAATAAAGATGTCTATTTCCGGAAAGGACATGTGTGACAAGCTTTTTATAATCGTCTCTTTTGTACAAAAAATTATGAAGGGAGAAGCCCCTGGAGAGATGGGATTGCTTCATAGAGATCCCCTCGCAAAAGCTTAAAAAGCTTAATTCATAACATATATATCTCTGTACTGGAATCTAACACGTCTTTGGCTTAGTGGGTTCATAAGAATGAAGAATACAACTTTTCCAACTTTAATATAATATCTTGGACAAATGGGAATTCAGCTTTTAAGGTGCTTCACTCCTTACGTATTTCTCTTATTAGAAAGCACCAACAAAAAAAAAACAGTCTTATCAGCCAGCTTAAAACATGTAGCTAATTCAATGGAGGCAAAGAGTAATTGGACTCCGTCATCTCATTTGGCAAAATGGTGTATGTGATCACGTTTAAAGCACATTTTTGGATCCCTTCATTTGCTCTGGTTTTCTTAACATAAACCCAAGTCCTTTTCGTCTAATTAAATCATGTGGTTATGACTGATAGATAAAAAGTAGTTTCTTATTGGAAGCTTTGGAGCTGTATCTAACTTTCGAAGTTGTGGTCATTAGATAGTCAGAGTTTAACATATCATTTTGAGCCAATATTTTTTAATAACCTTGATATAATTTCCATAGCTGACTTTTGTGAGAGAAAGCTTTCAACTTGGTCATAATTTCATTCATTAAATTTTATTTTATAAGAAGTATTCATGACCTTTTTGATTAAATGCATTGATCAACATAATCCTTACGTACGTAATTCCCACTGAAACAATTCAATGGAATTCCCCACAGTAGCACTGCTTAAGGGTGTCTTGTCATTTCAAGTTGAAAAATGAAACCATTTGCTGGACTTAATTAATTGCTTCCATATTAGGTATCTGCATTATGATATAAATTTGCTATGTTTGGAAAACCCATATTAAAAACATTGATCTTTCCGTCAAATTAAATAAAGAAGAAAAGTTTGATCTAAACCATCCAATTATCATTTATCACCCTGCAGATACTTAATCAGAAAATATATATACGCTCTTCGTCAATTTGCTCATGTTTTCCAAATGGGTAATTTTCGAGAGTCCAAGAGTGGGTACAAGTAGGTGGGAAGCAAAATAATTAACAAGGATGCTCAGGAGAAACTCTTTTGGTTCTGGGGCCTTTCAAAGAAGGACTGATCAGCTGACCATGGCTTGACATAAAAGTTTCCAAGTACGTGCAAGTACAACAATCATACTTTGGTTTTGTTAGTTTGAAAGTAGAGTAAACCACAAGAACTAAGACAGATTATAACTAGTTGAACCATTTGCTGAACTTAACATATAAAATAATAAAGATTTAAACTATAATTAAACGTTGATAAATTTTATTTATTAGTTTCAGAGCAGATCAATAATGAACTAGTAATATTTCTTGCTTTCACAATATTGCAACAACATGTCACTTCTCCCTCAAACTCAAAGTCACAGGCCACAGCACTTACCAACTTTTTGAAAGTTCCATGGAATATAGAGGTTTATATCTTTATTCCTTTCGAAATTAACGAATAGCGTTTAGAGATAAGAAAAGGGTGTTTAATGTGTTCAGAAAAGGAGGAAAACGAAGAAGTCCAGCTGTACGTGGGGAATCAATGGCAGCCAACGCGCTAAAAGTCTTCTGCTTTCCTCATCCAATAGTTAACTTTCCTTAGATATTTGGAAAATGGGGAGTGGGGTCTAACCCTCACTTCATCTTCCTTTCCGTTCATTACAAATACGAGACGTGCGTTTATAAGATCTCGACGCATTTAAAGTTAACAAGGGCTTCAATGAACCTAGAGTTGGACCAAAGGAATTCGGAGGAGCAGTCATTTATCTGATGGTCTATTGCGAGAATAAACCTCTCTAAATCTGACACGTATTTGGATTTCAAAGAATAATTTTTGTTCAATCGATCCTACAAAGTTTTCGCTTCCCATATTCTTTGACTGACATAACTTGCTTCCCCAACGATCAGCATAAATTCAGGCAAAAATCTGCTTTTTTGGCTGTCTCTGCATTGGACACGTAGGTCTCCACCCGCACCCTCAGAAGCTCCATGTTTTAGTCAAATTAGCCACGTGTTCTCGCATACTGCTGGAGCCTGAGAGCAGAGCAGGCAGCTGGAACTGCTGGCTTCTACGCACAGCAGCCTTGGAAGTTGCAAGTGAAAGTTTAAGCTGGAAACTGAACATATATCCTGGCAAAGCGTTTTTCTCGTACTACCATACCTCGGCTCTTCGTACGTTATGGTTCACGAAAGAATCCTAGTTTTCCTTGTCTCTCTTTTCAGATGCCACTGGATCAAATATATATATGATCCAAATTTTAATCAAGTTGCTCTCTCATTTTCGCTTTTCCTGACTGATTTAATTATTGTTAATTGTTACTGGCTGATGCCAAGTATAAATCAATTTCTGATGGTGCTGGCACCCTTTTGCTTTCAATCAGTTCTGCAAACTTTCTATCAGAAACGGCCACCTGAGTTAGTTAAGGTTCACCATACCGTATGTACAGAAGCAGGTTGCTAAACGAAAATTAGTACTCTATAACTTGTAGAGCTGATGCAGAAGATCCAAAAGCTGCGAAGAAAATTGCCTACTGAATCTCGGGTTGGATGGCAGAATGAAAAGCGTAGAGCTTAGACGGTTGCAAATTGATCAAATGCTACTCTTTACGTATGTGACAGCATTCTTCAATACATACGCATAATAGCATAGTATTGGAGTTGTAGTAGTAAATTAAATATTACTCAAGGAGCAACTCTTGGGCCAATTTAGACCTATCCCCTTACCAGATTGGACCATGCCCGCTAATAGTATACAGAGAGTATATCTTCTTACATAACATCAAGAATCAATAGGGGCACACTTAGCCCATCAACTGACCTGGATTGAGCTTAATTCATTGGTCTTTGGAATTGGGCCTCAACTCTATAAATGTTCAA